AATCTTAGAGTGTTTTAACTATTATGGGATGTTACAGGATAGTTTTAATTATTATGAGACTACCATATAGTCCATAAAAAATGACAGGGCAAGTACTACCACACCCACCCCATAGTATACCCTAACCTCACATCTGTTAGCTAACTGAAATAAATAAATTTTACTAAATAAATCTTGACCAGCAAAGAGGCAGAAAAGTGGAGTCGAGGCAATCGAAGATCAGTAAATTATTTTTAATAATGCAAGCTAGCAAAAAACCACATAGGAAAGAAGTGTTTCCTTATATAACAACTTCTAATATATAGACGAGCCAGTGCATTTTAGTAACAATGCATTCCAACTATACCTTTTATGTCACGTTGCTTAGCAACAAAAGTATATAGGTTATACTTTTATACTAAAATGGGTTCAGAATACACACACTACCAACCTAATATCCTGAGGAAAACGGGGACCTTCGCTAGTAGGTAATATAAAGAAAAAATACATAGAATGTAATGTAACATTCTCTCCACATTGTAAATTAACTAGTCTCACTAGTACAAAAGATAGAATAGAAGAAACTGATAGATGCGAGATTTATAAACTTCCTTGTAACTGTGGTCAAGTTTATATTGGCCAAACATGTAGAAATTTAAAATGTAGGATCAAAGAACATAAAAACATGGTATTAAAGTACAAAGTAAATGAATCTATACTAGCAGAACATTTGGTGGAAACATCTCATGTTATAGACTGGAATAATACTAAATACATAAAACAGGTAGAATTTAAAATAGAATTAAATATCAAAAAACTATTGAAATTGAAAAAAAAACACAAAGATAATGCATTAAACAAGGAAGCTGGTCCAGGTATAGAAATAATAAAGTACTGGACAGAAGTGTTGTAACTCTGGGTAGTTTAAGTCTAGATGATGTTTTGATATGTAAACGATTATGTGGGAATATAAATCCCAACCTTACTTTTACCATTACTTCTGAAGATGGTGTCACAGACACTGAAACATATGTAATCATTTTAGGGCAAGTCCCTGTTATTAATAACTATTTATTGTGTAAGATTTTAATGTTGTATTCCTTTTAACTATAAATAGATGTTTCACACAAGTGTCATTTTAAAATTATGAATACTCAACCTCTCTCTCTGTGTATACAAATATATATATATATATATATATATATATATATAT